CTAAAATCTTCACTCTGAAGATGTGGTCAGGTTGATCCCCTTGAAGACTGTACACTTGGGATTTCCCCTTTATAAACTGTCTCATTTTGCAGCAGCATTTAGAGAGGCTTTCAAGTCACTAGCTCAGCTTTTGAAAAGAGATCTTTCAAATGAAGAGGAGTGAGGGTGTTTCCCTTATTCTGTGAATAGCTTTTTTTTTTATATCTGTTCAAAATCCAGCAGCTATTTTACACTCCAAGGGCTGGGTTACAGACATGTCACTGAGTGCTTCCTTGACTCTAATTCTCCTAAATAAAAACAAATGGAACATTTTGGCCTGAATTTTTCCACTGGCCAGTCAGCCTTTATTCCAGTATCGATCAGAGGGTTTGGATCCTACCGAAGACCCACCATATCACACTCTGAATTGAACCCCCTCCAAAATATATCCAGAAGATAGCCTAGACCCTAACCTTTTTTTCTTCTTTTTAAAGGCAAGTGTAAGGTATTGTGTTCCAGATGCAATTCGATTGGTCAAAGTATCAGCTGGAGGCAAAACACACTTTTTGTTTACACTTTAGTTAAAATACAAACAAAAGAAAGAAGAACTTTGAATAACTTTATTGGAAAACTTAACAGAATAATAGATTATTTTAAGTACTAACCAGCAACTTCCAATATAGTAAATTTCAATATAGTAACATCACACAAACAATGCTTGGCAAAGGCAAATTCAATAAAATTGTCTCTCATGCCATTCTAGCAGCAGGAACTTTTAGCTGTAACAGCTTCTACATCCAGCTTCAAGATTCCAGAAACTGCTGACAGCTAAAACTACAACTTCTCGTTCTGTGGGAGCTTGACACCATCCATTCATGCTGCTTCTGTTGTTCCAACTTCATCTACTAAAACATCTGAGGCCCCTCAAATTGCTTACATCATTGGCTTAAAATAAACCACTCAGCACCTGTGTCTCAACCGCGCTTCAGTGTTTTAAAAAAAAACAGGAAAAATACTGCTTAAAGCCATAATATTGTCACACCTGCCCCTTTTGTCAAAAAAAGAACCATCAGTATAATAAGATGGCTTCATTTTTAAAAACCTTCAGTGTCATGCTATTACACTACATAATGCACATACATTGCATTGATTATAAGCATACAAGCATTCAATTTGACAGTCCACTTCTTCAGCCACCGAACACCTTTGGCTTCCTTCATCACAGGAGTGATGCCGCATCTGCAATGACACTGTCTCATCCTGTCGTGTATAATTTTCAAACTGAATGGCTGAAATAATAAACTCCATCTAAATAGTCTGGGATTTTTATCCTTAAATTTATCCAAAGTCTTTAAGGGGTTGTGACCAATATGTATAATTCTCATATGTTGAAATTTTGCAATTATGGGATACTTCTGATGAATTCTTGACTTTTTAGGAAAATACCCAATAGATCTTTCTATCTTATCTTGTAAGAGTCAGCAGCAAAACTCCCATCACTAGCATCGGTAGTCACTTTGAATGGCTTTGCGTAGTTGGATGTGGCTAACACAATTTTCAGCTGTCGAATGCTTTGTGACACTGTTCTGTCCACTGAAATTTTCTGCACTTCAAGAAGTCAGTCAGCAACCACACTGCTAAAATTTGGTACAAACTATCGATTTAAAAATAAATACTCCAAGTCCAGGAATTGTAGTAGTTCCCCCTTCTTTGCTCTGGGAAACTCCCCAGTAGCCTTTGTTTTCCTGTCCTGTGGAGCTATCTGTCCATGTCCAATGATGCTGCCTAGAAACATGACTTAGGCTTTTGCAAACTCACTCTTAGCCAGGCTTATCGCTGAGCCTGCCTCCTAGAGTCAATAGAATAATTCTGCTGGATGCTCCAAATGTTCCTTTCATGTGTGACTAAGAATAACCAGATCATCTGTATAACACACAATTGGGTAATCCTGAAATGACTTTATTGGTTAGTTTTTGAAATGTGGCTGGCACATTTATCATACCAAATGGGATGACTTGAACCTGGTATAGTCCATTCGGTGTCACACAGGCTGAAATTTCCTTTTGTCCTTTTGGAAAAAGGTACTTGCCAGTATCCTCTGAGTGTCCAAATTAGAAATACAACTTGCTTATCCGACCTTCTCCATGCAGTCTTCCAAACGTGGAATAGGATACGAATCAGACTCTGTAACTGCATTGACTTTGTGATAATCCACACACAGTTGGGTGCCATTTTGGTTTTGGCGCCATTACTATGGGTCAGCTCCATTCACTGCAATTCGCTTCAATTATGTTGTCTTTAAGCATGCTTTCAATCACTTTTTGAACTTGTGGCAACTTTAGAGGGTTAAGTCTGAGGTTGTTGCTTAATTGGAATGGCATTCCCTGTATCATAACATTTAGATTTGTACTTCCCCAGATTATTCCCACATCTCCCCGTGTGATTCTAATAACTTTTTTTTTCAGGTCATTTTGATTTTACACTCTAAGGTAACTGAATTTTATCCCAATTTTTGAGCTTCCTCCATTGTCCAGCTTAATTTTGAGGGATATCCAATTCCAAATCCTCTGAACTTGGTTCTTCACTCTATATTGTAACCAGTAACACGCTCTCCTTTTGCATTCCTTCCCTATCAAAATACCTTTTGAGCGTATTCACATGATGCAGTGTGTGAGATTTCTTTCCATCTGGCATTCTTATCAAATATTCACCTCCATTTCCTTTCAATTTGATAAGCCCCACCAAACCTTGCTTTTAAAAGTTCAACTACCACTGGGACTAACAGTAACACTGTTTCTAATAGCAAAATTATGGATTTTTGATTTCTTGTCTGTTTCCTGTTTCATCACATGCTGTGCTATTTTTAAATGCTGTCGAGCCAACTCACCTGCTCAATTTAATCTTTCCCTAAAATTTGACACAGCCCAAACATGTAGTCTCCGAATTCTGACTTGACAATTTTTCCTTAATTTCACTGGTCCACTCTCTCCTCACTTTCTGTAAAAGTCCAAAAGTGTCTTCCACCCCTGAGAAACTTTTCATGACTGATAGTGCCATTTAGTACATGAGGAAAACCCTATTTAAATCAATCAAATGCAATACCCAAAAAGAGAACACCAACACTCGCCACTCACTGCCTTTTGAGTCTGATTTAATTCTAAACCCAACCTATAATTAGAATTTTGATCCTGTGAAGAGTCCCCACAAAATACACCTCTTTAAAGCCATTGTCATCACACTCAGGAAGTGGAATGTTCCACCAGACAATTCCTCCGTGCTTAGAACCTCTTTTCGAAAGTCCCTATCCAAATCTGAATTTGGACAGTTCTGATCAAACGAAGTAAAAATATTACTCAGGAAAAAGTTAGTCTATTAAATACATAATTTTACCTCTAAGCATTTGACATAAACCATACTTGCCTCTCTCTCATCCCCACCCCCTTCCCCAATCCCCAAAAAAACTGCATGACTATACATCCTTCAGACCCTTTATACATCCTGCCACGGATCTTGACACCCACGCCTCCTCCACCCCCTCCACCTCCAGAACCAACAGCTCCCAACCGAGAGATCTGGAATCTGACATTGCCATTCCTCAGAAAATTGGGCCCTTTAGTTGCTCTCGGGTTGTTTGGTTTGAAAGTTGTTCTTTTCCACAATTCCACTACATCTGTATCTCTGATTTGTCGTAAAATGTGTTTCCTGAGATTTGCCTCCAGCTCTCTTGCCAATCGATTCAAATCTGTGCCTTCTGGTTTTTGAATTTTATTCAAAAATGGGTAAAACCTCAAATGTTAGAATGTCCCCAGTGAATATTCTTGGTGACATAGTTAGATACTGCATAGGATCACTGATACATTATGGGAATCTGTTTTAAGCAGACACAGCATATTCGGGAAAAGAAAGTAGAGAGGAGATTTCTTTTAAATGTTTCCAAAATCATGAGGGTTTGGAGCAGAGTAGATGTAGTGAAAATATATTTCCATAGGTGGAATGGTTGAGAAATGAAGGAAAGTTGTATTTTAATGCTGCAATTGGTAAGGATTTGGAACACTGCCTGAGAGTGTAATTTTGGCATGAAGCGGAAATATTTACAGGGTTATGGGAAAAAATGGGTGTGTGGCACTAGATCAATTGCTCTTGCAGACAGCTGACACAGGTAAGATTGGCTGGATCTGTTTAGTGATTCTACCTGAGGTACTTGATCCCACGGGCCCATACAAAAATCTTTCTGATTAAGTTCATGGAGAAAATTCATTGAAAAGGTTATGCATTTATGGAGTTGTAAGACCTAGAAGGAGACTGTTCTGTTCATTATGCTGTACTAGCCCTCTGAAGATCTATCCAACTCGTCCCACTCTGTGTGCTTCACAAAACTTTACAAAAGTTAGAATATTCTTCATGTGCACTCTAATTTCTCATTATAAACATTACAACAGGGTAAAAATGCTGAGAACAGAATCAAAATATATGAAATGTACACTAACTTGATTAACTTTCTAAGTAAAGAAGAAAAGAATTTTAATTTCTACAACACCTTTCACAGCTTTAAAATTCCAAGGAGCTTTTGAGCCATCGGTGGACTAAATGGCCTATTTTTGTTCTATTGTCCATTTCTGTTGAGGTACTTTTTGAAGTCACTGCTATAATCCATGAATGGCTGCAACCAACTTTCACACGGCAAGATCCCACAAACAGCAATGCAGCAAAGACCATATCTATTTTTAAAGGTTAATTTAAGGATAAAAATAACTACAGGATGTCTTGTGCCCACCTGAATATGCAGATGGTTCAATTCCTGAAGTGTTAACCTAGATTTTGTCATTGAAGTTCATGGAGTGGGATTTAAAACAAAATGTTTTGGACTCAGATGACTCTGTAATTCACCAAGCCAAAGTTAATACTTGAACACAAATGTAAATACAAAAGACTTGTAGAATTTCATTGCTGTGAAAGATTATGCAGGAGAGCAATGTATCCTCCCATTTGGTCTTGTGCTGACTCATCAATTGTCATTGCAGGTTAACCCATGACATAAGCTTGGAGGAGTTTGAAGATGAAGACTTGTCAGAAATAACAGATGAATGTGGGATTAGTCTGCACTGTAAGGATGGCCTGGCTACAAGGGTAAGAGTCTGTGAATGCCGGCGCCATGATTCAGCAAATTGATGGGATGCAGGGGTTGGGTGGGGCAACATTGATAACCAAAGCCGTCACTGCACCAATAATGTGTCTGAGTGATTTCAGGTCCTAACCAAAATGGATGGAAGTTGCAAATGTTTTAGTGTAAAGTCATTGAATGTGTTTTTTATTTCATTGCTAATGCATTAACTGCAATTCAAACATAACCTGGAAAAATCAATTGCTTGTAATTGTCTAAAGTATTAGACTTTAGAAACATCTGTCCAGCATGTTACATGCAATAATCAGTACAACATTAAAACCAAAGCATTGATGTGGTCTAAGTAAGTATTAACTCTGCCTGGCTGAGTACCACTCATGTCTGTGTTAAAGGCTGAGGATCCAGGTCCAACTCTAGCACTTGAGCACAAACTAAATCAAGGCTATTGATCCAGTAGAGCACTGAGGGAGCACTACATTGTTGGAGGTGCTGTCTTTCAGATGAGATGTTAACCTAAGATCTAGTCAGCCCTTGCAGGTTGATGAAACGTGTCCAGTAGCACCATTTTTGATAAGAGCAAAGAAATTCTTTTTTTTTCTTTTAATCATTAGGGTGAACATGCAATCAAAATAAGTAAATGTGTGTCAACTAATTCCATGTTTTGATGTCTTTGGTTAGTGTTGGAGTTCTGCATTCAGTTCTGGACATGGCACTAGAGCTGTGAAAAGTATACAGTGGATTAGAATGATATATCGGTGAAGAAATTGAAATTCTTCAGTGGAATTGGAAGTTGAAGAGGATTCTAATGTGCCTTCTGAAAGGGTGAAGTGTAAAAGATTATTTTCTGTGCCATGTATCCATATCAGAGAAAACATAGATTAAAGACTGGGGTGACAGTAGCAGAGTGATTGTGTGATAAGTAATGAGTAATCTGAAAAACCTGAATTTGCATTCGTTCTGTCACATCATTTGAATTCTGTCAATTGAACAAATCTAGAATAAAAATCTCTTACGCTGTAGCCTCTTTAGATCAGAATGTTTGGGACCAAGGCATTTTTAGGATTTAGGATTCTTCTAGATTTTAGAATGACATTTAAAGCCCTACTAGTGTGTGAATCAGATATAAATATGTACCTGAGATGTAAATGAGTGATAATACATTATAGTGCAATATGAAAAGTTGTTTTATTTATCCATGTACCGTATTCAGTATATTTCCAAAGTACTGTGCTCTTCAACGTTGGAAACTGCACTTAGTGCTGAGTGGGCCTGACCTGTTTGTGCATTGACTTAACACAGGCAGATGCAGGGCAAGTGTGTCTCGGTAACTAAGTGTGGGGGAAAAACTGAGGTCACGTGGCTGTGTTGGAGGGTTAAACAGCAGCTTCAAATGTGTTTCTACTCCTGTCTAGCCTGTTGTGTATGATCCATGTTTTGGTTTTACAACGCCTAACTGCAGGTAATGAAAACTAAACAATGCAGAGTGAGGGGCTGACGAATTGCTCTGTACATGCGTGGAAAGGGTCAGGAGCTGATTACTGTCTCCGAGCCAGAAGGGCTGATTACTGTGTGTGAAACCTACCTCTACCCATCCTTAAAAACCCTTTAAAACAATTCTTTGCATCCCCTTGTATTTCAACTCCTGCTTGGATACATTAGACATTTGTACTTGACAAGGTCAATTTAAGATGCTGGAGTGGCTCCCAATGTTCAATTAGCAACCATTAGGGCCATGCTGTTAACCTTGTTGCAGTGTCTCAAGTGGCCAGCCCCGGAGCTCAGTGTACGCTCTGTTTTTGAAACTCTGAGTTAGTACTAATACAGCTGAGACATTGCTCAGACTGCCTGCATATTGCTGACTGAGTTCTGAGCAGCCTGATGTTATGGTCTCCAGTCCACCTTTTCTGAGCAAGACCTGCACATCTTGATTCACTTTGCAGTGTAGACTGTTATCCAGCCGTCAAATTAGCAAAGCCAAACGTCAGAGTTAATTGCCAGGCGGACAGTTGTATCATTGAAACATTGCCTGATATCAAGACACCTGGCCAACTTTGCAATGCTCCCTGGTATCAGTGAATTACAACTCACCTCAACTATGCCTGGATTTCTGTTGTGTATCTCACTTAAAGTCACTCTTACATCCTACATGGTGAATCCGGAGGACTAATCCTGTCGTTTCTCAGAGGAATTCCGAGTAAAAAACTTGTTTCCCAGGTTGGGAATGTTGTGATTAATCTCCGAACTATACATCTCGTGAACATGACTTTATGTTGCTCGCACTGAATCAGGCCCTTGTTTCTCACGCCAGTTGTTCCAGATTTCAAAGTTTTAGTCCTCCATTTCCAAAATGCCAATTAAACAAATGTCTGACTTAACTGAGCTTTACATCTATCATGTCTGATTTCATCCTTTCAATAAATATTGGCCAGGGAAAATATTTCCTTTTGCAGTGTGATCTATCTTCTCTCAGTTGAGAGGGACCTTTTTTCAAGGAGAACAGGATTATGGAGGAAGCCAATCCCAGCTGCATTCTCCATGGCAATGCCTTGACCAATCAAAATCTGCCCGCCTGGCCGGAGTTTAATTAGTTAACTTAGTTAACTAACAGTTCCTGCTCTGACTCCATATTGGCCATGGTCCAAGCAGTGCCCTCTTGTCTTGAATGGATTGTTGTTCCCTTTTTCTAAATTTGGGTTTTTTAATATCTCCGTCCTAATGAGTGCCTGACAAAATGCTATATCTTTGTGTCTCATTAGCAAACCCATTCCTTTGTAAAAGCAAACATATATTTCTAGTCATTTCTGACACAACTTATCTTTCAGTAACCTCTCCAAACCTATTAATCAAAGGATAACTTACAGCCCACCCTCTGTGTTAATGGCAAGTTGTCAAACAGCTGAGCGTTACTATTGGAAAAACATGATAGTTCCAAATGCCATGTCCAACAAACAGCCATTGACATTGCTAGAACACTTTTTTTTTTCAACTGGCATACTTTGACAAGTATCTTTTTTTTTAAAGGGCTGTCCATTTAAAAAAAAACTTGGCCTACCTGTACTTAACAAGAATTCAGCACATCTCTGAAGATTTGTCACACTCTCAATGACTCCCTCCCTCTCTCTCATGAAAATGGCGACTTTTTGAACTCCGCACTGATTTCAAATGATTCTGCTGAATTTGTATTCTCTCAAATTTCGAAGTCCCTTCCTCCTCCTCATTCACCTCAAGTGTTCTGCAGGGTATGGTCATCATAACACAAAATCAAAATTGATCTTCTTGCCTTTTCTCATTATGGGCATCTCTGGCAAGGCCACCATTTATTGCCTAGAGGGCAATTAATATTTGACCACATTGCTGTAGGCCAGACCAGGTAAAGTTGGCAGCTTTCTTCCATAAAGGGCTTTAGTGAACCAGATGAGTTGTTTTTTTTTTTCAACGATCAACAATGGTTTCATGGACGTTATCAGACCTTAAATCCAGATTCCTCATGGAATTCAAATTCCACCAACTGTCATGGTGGGATTTGAACTCAGGTCCAAAATATTAGCTGGATTTTTGGATTAATAGGCTTGAGACAATAATACTAGGTCATTGTCTCCCCTCAGAAGGGTAAATGTTCTCTGTACAACAGAGCGGAGGGTGGACTTAATGTTGGATGTGAAGGTTCTCCATTGCATAGAGTTTTTGTGGTTTGGGCCCACGTTTAGATGAAGGAGATGTGATGCGACTGCAACGTAAAAGATTCTTAGAGGGGAAAGGCTGTTTTCCCTGGCTGGAGACTCTAAAACTGAGGGGTGTAATTTCTGGATAAAGGGCTAGATATCGAAAACTGAAACTAGGAGGTCTCTTAAGCTGAAAGTTGTGAATGTTTGGAATGCCATACCAAGAGCACTGCAGATGCTCAGCTTTTTCAGTCAGCAGTGAGCCTTATTCAAGACATGGATTGATAGATTTTTGGACTCCAAATGAAATAAAGGATATGAGGGTATTGTTGGAAGGTGGAGCGGAGGTAGATCAGTCATGATCTTGTTTAATGGTGGAGCAGTTTGAAGGGCTGATAAGGCAAATTTATGTAGGATAATGATTTTATCAAATTCTGCAATGTTCATGTTATAACTGTTATCTAGGGCTTCATTTCTGGCTTGTTAAAAGGCAGACAGTTGTTTAAGAACATACTGAGCTAATGATGGATTGACGTTTGCCGAACAATGCTGATTGACCAGTCTGCCTGTTCATTTTCTATCACATTATATACATCCACCACTCCACTCAAGCTAAGTTATATCTTCAGAGGACAGGCTCAATTTAAAAAGAAAACATCAAAATCAAGTGAACGTCTCAAGTGTGTCACTAAATTTTAAAGGTGTGACATTGAAGTGTGATTAGAAGGATCATGTGACTCAACTCTGCTTTCTCGCCACAGATGCTGCCAGACCTGCTGAGTTTCTCCAGCAATTTTGTTTTTTTTTGATTTCCAACATCTGCAGCTTTTGCTTTATTTTATGACAGACTGATCACCCAATCAGACAGGACTTGATGGGAAAATTCCCCATGTTACATACAGTACTAGTTTACAGCTCCCACTACTGACTCTACAATGCCCTGCAGCACTGCCTCAAAACATAGCTTTTGGCTTCTTGACATATTTTTCATGTGAATCTGATGGGATGTGTTAATTTGCAAAGTTTGTTTTTCTGTGCGAAGAATGTTCTGGAAAAAAGTTATTTGGGGGTGACACATTGATTTTGATTTTGTTTTAGCGAGAGATTTTGTTAATTGGTGAAATTCTCCAATGCTTAACTCAGACACTTTAAACGGTTCCATTAATCGATAGATGAGGATTATCTTGCACATATAATGTTGATACAGTGCTTGTTCAGGGAATGGTTCTGACTACCTAGCAGTTGGATGGAAAGTTCCACTTCAGGTTAATTTTATCGTTGGATTTAAGTTTTTTTTTTTTTTTTTTTTAAAAATGGGAATACAACACCTTTTTGAACTTTTT